TATATATATATATTAAGTTATGTTAAGTTATTATAATAAATATAATATTTTAATGAATCCAAAAATATAATAAACATAATATTTTAAAATTTTAATTTCATGAAATATAAATATAAAATTTATTAATAGGAAAAAGCAGACTCCGAACTTTCATAAGAAAAATTAAATAAGTGTTTTTGTAAAAAAAATTGAAAATTATTCTTTTCAGAGAAAATTATTTTTTATATGCTTTTTTTTTTATTTTATCCTTAAAAAATATATTAGTAGGAAAAAAGTTAGAATATAACATAAAGGTATAAACGTTTTTAAAAAATAGATAATACAAGGTGATATTTCATTTTTATAATACTTAGTGTAAAAGACACTTTTTTTTTTCACTTTATTAACTTTTTGTTTCACAAAAGACATACAATGTGTCTTTGCGTATATTTTATTCAAAAATAAAAATAAAATAAAAGATATTACATTACAACTTTCTTCATAAGTGTGATGAGACAATAAGATCGTGTTACAACAATTAAAGGCCTGAGACAAAATTTATAGAGAAATTTAATAATATAAAGTTAATTATTTATTTTCTTATTAATCTTCTAATAACATTTTGAATTATAAGATATTCATCATTTTTTTATTTATATTTTAAAATCATATTCATTTTTTATTTGACATTTATATTACTATAATTCTATAATATGTAATAAAAGAACAACTTAAATAGTTTTTAGTCCCTATAAAATAATGGATTTTGATTTTGGTTCTTATAATTTGTAAATATTTTTTGTCTTTGTAAAATATTTTTGGTGCTTGAAAATGAGTAAATTTTGATTTTAATTTAGTTCCTAAAAAAATATTGTTTTTAATTTTTATTACTATAAAATCTAAAATTATTAGTTTTGATCCCTAATAATGGTATATATAAATAACATTTATTTTAAGAACATGTGAATTTTTTAAAATGTGTTACATGTTAGTATAATATCACTAAAAATTATAGATAGTATTAAAGATAATCACTCATCAACATTTTAATGAATAAACCCTAAATCCTAAACCATAACAAATTTAAATTAGATATTCACTTTAACAATTACTAAGTTTTTCTATGAATATAAAAATAATGAAAAAGAGAAAGAAAAATTAATAATAAAATAGTTAAAAATTTTAATTTAATTTTTTATAATAATATGTTTAAAAAATCAAATTAATAACATTTATTTATTTTTCTTGACATCTACAAAATGACATAACATTTCAAAATTAACACTTCTAAATTAATTATGATAAAAGTTTAAGGTATACAAACTTTAGTGCTTTTTAATATCCTAAGAACAAACTAAATCAATTATGTAATTAAAGTTTGGAATAGAAGATTTCTCTTGATAAAAATTATTAAACAATAAATATATAATTTTTTTATTTATACAAACCATAAACATATAATTTATTATGGACTTAAAAGCAAATGTCTATATCATGTATTCCGTCTTGTGAGACAGTTGACAAATGTTAGAATACTTGAGTTCGATTACATAGACTACAATCCAAATTTTTATCAAATCACACATCGGAGTATACTAAACTTTCTAATTTCTTGGTTTATCTAAAAAATTTGCGATATAACTAGGAAGGCGATATATAAAAGTAGATAATAACACTATCTTTATAAATAGTATAGATGGCAGATAAAATTATTATTATTATTATATAAAATAAATTTATTTAAATTATAATCTTATCTGAAAATAATAAATAAAAAAAGGTCATTAAGACAATCATAATTTTAGTTTTTGTGAATTAAGAATAAATTTTAATTATGATCATAATTTTAATCATAAATCCTAAATCCTACGGTAAAAACAACTGAAAGTTTGCATTACTCGTATACAATGCAGATTTACTAAATTGGATTTACCCAAAAAAATAAATCAATAAAAAAGTGAGCCAGATAAGGGACCCGAGTTTTATTTTATTTATTGTTTTTTCCTTGCTTATGTGACGTTGTCTTAAGGTGTACAAAATAGACCGTTGAACGTTAAATCTACGATCGAGCCATCGGTTGAATTTTATTAGTACTTTAACATTAAACTGAACAATTTAATTTGTCATTAAATACAAGTAGGTCCACTAAATTTAATTATTCCATTTATTTCATCACAAGTGTGGCATCAGAAAAAAATAAGTTATAAAATAAATATCATTTTTTAATTACAAAATAATTGTCATTTTAATTTTTTAATGTAGTATTAATTTTTTTTATACTCTAAAATTGCACTATATTCATCAATTAACTTAATGGAAATATATGTATATTAAAAAATTAAATGAATCAATTTATATTAAAAATTTCTTATTAAATAAAAATTAACTATTAGAATTTAAAATTTTTATAATTATTAATTAAAACAACATATGAATTATTTTAAATTTAACTACGTATTTATGGAATCTTCACATCTAATTACTATTGTGCGATATGTTTTAAAGTGATTTATTTTATAAAAAAAACCATAAATAATACTCTAATATTTAATGTTATTATCTAATATATAAAATTAAAAATAGTATTTAATTAACAAAATTTTATAATAAATAGCATTAATGTGAGAAATTTAATTGATTTTTAATGATAAATATATTTAAAGCAATTTATTTAAAATAAATAAATAATAGTCTAATATTTAATCTTATTACGTAATATTGAAATTGTCAAAAATAGTACATTATTTAATTGTCAAAATTGTATAATAATGAATAGCATTAATGTGAGCAATTTAATTTATCATTAAATACATCCTATCAGTTACAAATGCTTGTTCAAATTTCTAGAACGAGTGTCCATTTTTATGAGTGTGAAAGAAATTAATGTTGATAAATCAATCAATGAATGCTCAATATTAAAACATAAAAAGTCATGCAAACTTTTTATACCTTCCTTGAGTCCCAATTGAGACGGACTGTAAGAGGATTGTGAATGGTATTTACAAGTGAAACTATAGGGTGATACCAAATTTGGAGTCATTTTGAAACATTGTAAGCTTATCATGCACAACTATCCAAACTATAGAATTGGTTTTGTTAAGCCACAAGCTAATAGTCCCTTGATCTTTTATCATCACTATGTTATATTTGACACTAGATTTTAATTTATTTTGATAAAGACACCATATTTTAATAGAAATGAAATAAGTATATATATTTAAAAAAGTCATGACTTTTTAAGTGATTAGATAACATTACATCTTCTTATAAGTAAAATACATGTTAATAAATAAAATAACTTTGAGCATGAGTATTTATAAAATATTTAATATTATTATTGTATTTATATATTTAATTCTTCTATCATTTTTGTTTTAAAATTTATATTAGCAATTTTCAATTATTAAATTGTAAAATAAATATCATTGATGTCATCAATTTAATTATTAATAAATGTGATTTGGTCTATTAAATTTGATGACATCATCAATAATTAATAAGAAATTTAAGTCCAGTTTGCATAATTGTATTTTTAATTAGAATTATATATTTTTTATTCATAGACATAATTTATACAATATCCAAAAAAATAATGAACTAGAAAAATAGGTTCTTTAATACACATTTTATTGAAGTGAAAGTTTAACTATGATAGTGATTGAAGAAACATTGCATATAAAGTTCCTTGTAAATTTTATCCTTTACATTTATGAGTGTGTATACTATTGTAAAAATGGTAGGAGTGTAAGTAAGTACAGGTAATCCGCAAATCCAAACTAATCCAAATTGTTCTAATGAGTTCGAATCAAACTTATTATTTAAGTTAGGCTCAACTTAACCTGATCAAAATCCATACCGTATGAGTTGGATGACGAGTTTTTTAATAATTTGCCATGGACCTTACACTTATGGTACGACCATAAGTAGCAAAAAAAAAAAAAAAAAAAAAAGCTTTCTAAGGATAGCATTAAATAG